TTGCACATTAAAGTATGACACTGAATACCCAGCACAAACTCAGGAAGCAGCTACCCAAGCTGGAAGTTGTCATGAAAATGGTGTTTGTCTCAGGTATAATTTCGAAAGTAAATCTTCTGGTCACTTCAAAATGCAAGAGCTTCATGTTACAGTTATTTGTTGAGATTCAACCTTTGACAGCAACTTGGCATACGTGGGAAGAAAACACAAGCTGTCATCATCTAATTGGAGAAGAATTTTGTTCTTACTATGTCTGCTGTGGTCATGCAAATAAGGGAGAAGTAGAATACCATATGTATTGAAATACAAGCTCCTTAATAGAGGCAGAGGAATAAAAATATTTTACCTTTTAACAGTGTCAGATAAAGGCAGAGTTCAACACGTTCTTTGGCACAAGCATCTCTCTGTGTGAACGTAAAGTCAAAAGTATGGCAAATATCGCCACATTCACAACCCTCACAAGTAAAGCAAACGGAGGGACAAGGACTAGTGTCTGGAAAGCAGGTGTGACCTCCACATGAGGAAGAAGAAGAGATATGCCTGCACCAACCTTCTCTCACTTGAGGGGAGGGTGAGCTTGTGGTTGGCACGGAGAAGTAACAGAGTGGTGCTGCAACCTCCAGTTAACTTTTGGTTTATGTAATGTTTACACAGTTGTTGGGTAAAATCTGACTTTCTAACTTTGCTCATGGAGAATAAGCAGGCCGTATCTGGATAATCCTTCACGGCATTTTTGGATTTCATTTTAATTAACAAAATTACCCCAAACATAAACATGGTCCTTCATGTTTAAACACTTAAAATGTATGACTGCACAGTCCCAAAGTTCTGTTCCCACGGAATGGGATGTCCAGTTTCTGTAAAACAGAACTAGGTAAATGCTGACTGGTAACTTGTTTCATATCCTCTGCTTACTTTCTGTCTCATATACCTTCTGTCCCTTGTTCAGCACAGTAAGATGAGGGGTGAGTGACTCGTAAAATTATATACAATTCTACTGCAAAGCAGTCAAAATTGTGTATTGTTCACCTCTTTGCCTGCCCTGCACCTACTTCCCCTTCCTCCTTATGGTCAATGCACACACACAAACTACTTTTGCTAGCCCCTTTTGTGAACCTACAGAACTTGACGTACAGTTATGTTTCAGCTTACAGTTTGAGTCCCTATTCAAAACTGACAATTGATTTTTTTTTGCAGGAATTCTAAAGTATTTCAGAGGATGAGCAGAGGGGAAAGTAAGAGACCAGTCTAAAAATCCTTTTATAAAAACTCATTTTGTTTTTAACATGTTGTGACCTGTTTTCTAGACGATGTGTTCAGTAAACCCTATTGTCCAACTGTCATTAGTGAAAAAGTGACAGTAGATTGTGGATTATTAACAGAGCTATTGATGCCCTCTTTGGGTACTTGACAGGACCGAGCACGTACCAACAGTTTCATAATTGCACACTACTTTGAGGTTTACCACTGCACCAGCTGTGCCTTTGCCTTCCAGCACACGGAAGCTGTGGCAGCATCTCCACGACACTTCCTGCCCATCTCTCTGCCTCAGTCATCAACAAATTGCCAGCTTTATTCATGAGCTGAGTGAGGGACTGGAGCGGTGTGTGTGTGGGGACACCCTGACACTTCTAAGAGCAATATATGACAAGGAAAACAAAAATACGTGTGGGTCTGAAAGCATAGCCAGTGCAATACTTTGCATTGACGACCAGACACATTTAAGCAGGAAGCCATTTATATTAATGAGTAAAAGGTTTTGCATTTTGTTTCTTTCAGAAGGTGAGAGGAAAAGAAAGAATAGCATCTGAAATGTATAAAAACTGCTAAATGTTATTCATCTGGCCCACTTACACTGCTGCCTACTTCCCAGGAGAAGCAGATGCAACAAGAAAACCTCCCGCTATTTATTTCACTTTGTTTAACTTCCTCAGCACCCAAGCAACACCATTTCCAATTTTATTAGCAAATTTTCTGCAATTAAGGTAGGAAATGAGTTAATTTCCCTCAATATGGATTGTAGCATTGGGCTTTTATTTGTGTATTGTCCAAAAAGTATTCCAAGTGCTTTGCATATCAATGTGTACAAGAAAGAGAATACCGTAAAAGAGAAAGTGTGCTTTCATCTTTAACATGGATTTGTACAGACCTTAAAAAAGATTTCCTCCTCTTTTATTGTAAAGAATTTTGAAAGTTACATATGACAACAATTTACCCAGGATCTTTTTCTTTATATAGTGATGTGCTGAGATTACCAGAAAAAAAACCATCTTGAAAAATGCAGTAAATTCATACAGAGAAAGAGCAAGATAATAATTAAGAAATTACTCTGGGCAGAAATGAATTCAAATACTAAGCAAGATAACAGGACAAACTGCAGCAGAGGTATAGGTATGATTTAACAGTCATAAATCAGTTTTAATCTAATGATAAAAATAATTGCATTTTTTCTTGAAACTCAGAGGGGAAATTGAAAATATTTTTAAATTCCTTAAACCTGATAAAACAAAAATTGCAGCAAAGAATTCAAATGTATTTCTTCATGCAAACCAATATCCCCATATGGCTTATAGTTATTGACTAAAAAAAAAAGTTACTTTCATTTTTAACAGAAATGTTGGGTCTTCTTACTTCATTTTTATTCTCCAGTTGAACACTCATCTGTAAATAATGAGTTCTTGAAAAGTAAATCAAAGTGGGTCATCGCAAAGTCATCATGCACTCTGGGGATGGGTAACGTGACACTGTGCCTTCTACATCTAAGTTGCCAGTTTAAATCCAGTCTAGGCCAGCAGTGACTGAAGTCTACTGCCAGATGTTTCTTGCCATGCACAATGGGTTGGTAGACTTAGTTCATTTTGCAGTGAGAAAACAACATTTATATATGGTCTTGTGAAACTATCACTGAAGACAGAATGGCTTCTGCAAAGCAAACTATGCCGCATCACAGATTCAACTGAATGGCTGAGGTTGGCAAGGACCTCTGGAGGTCATCTGGTCCAACCACCCTCTGCTCAAGCAGGGCCACCAACAGCCAGTTGCCCAGGACCATACGTCCAGACAGCTTTTGAGTATTTCCAAGGATGGAGACTCCACCACCCCTTTGGGCAACCTGTGCCAATGCTCAGTCACACTCACAGTGAAAACATTTTCAGTACAAAAAGGACATAAAACTATTGGAGAGTGTCCAAAGGAGGTCAACAGAGATGGTGAAGGGTCTAGAGGGGAAGACATAAGAAGAGAGGCTGAAGTCCCTTGGTTTGTTCAGCCTAGAGAAGAGGAGACTGAGGGGAGACCTCATCGCAGCCTATAACTTCCTCACAAGGGGGAGCAAAGGGGCAGGTGCTGATCTCCTCCCTCTGGTGACCAGTGATAGAACCCGAGGGAACAGAATGAAGCTGCAACAGGGGAGGTTTAGGTTGGATACCAGGAAAAGGTTCTTCACTGAGAGGGTGGTCAGGCACTGGAACAGGCTCCCCAGGGAAGTGGTCACAGCACCGAGCTTGACTGAGTTCAAGAAGTGTCTGGACAACGCTCTCAATCATATGGTCTGATTTGGCAGGTCCTGTGTGGAGCTGGGAGTTGGACTCGATGATCCTTATGGGTCCCTTCCAACTCAGGACATTCTATGATTCTATGTTCAGAGGGAACCTCCTGTGTTTCAGTCTGTGCCCATTGCCTTTGGTCCTGTCACTGGGCACCACTGGGAAAAGCCTGGCTCTGTCTTCTTGGCATCCTCCCTTCAGATACTAATTCACATCGATAAGGTGCCTTTGAGCCTTCTCTTCTTCAGGCTGAACAGTCCCAGCTCTCTCAGCCTCCCTTTGTATGCCACATGCTCCAGTCCTTTAATCACCTTAGTGGCTCTTTGCTGGACTTGCAAAGTATGTCCATGTCTCTCTTCTACTGGGGAGCCTACCACAGGACAAAGCACTCCAGATATATCTCACCAGGGCAGAGTAGAGGGGAAGGAACACCTCCCTGGACCTGCTGGCAACACTCCTCCTAATGCGGTCCAGGATACTGTCAACCTTCTTTGCCACAAGGGTGCATTGTTGGCTCATGTTCAACTTGGTGTCCACCAGGGCCACCAGGTCATTTTCTGGAAAGCTGCTTCAGACATTGGTCTCATCAGTGTGTCCCTCTGACATCAATGGTATCTCTCTGTGAAATACAGGGCCTTCCATTCAGGTGGGGCACACACTAGGAATGAAACGTTTGAAATTGCTGAAACTAAGCAAAGTTGACTTATCTCAGTGCAGGGTTCATATATGCAAATGCGCACTGACAAACATAAATCGCTTTTCAACTGAGCTAGAAAAACATGAAGCAGTCAACATACTGCAAGGCAGTATACAGAGATATGATGTAGATGCATACTGAGAAACGCACAGTTCAGATAACAATGAAATGTTCTGTTTACAAATCAACTCCTAGGCTTGTACATTTTCTACTCAATGTATGTTCCAATCTAAGAAGTTTTGATTTTCCAGAGTAGCAACATTAGCTGTAGATATGTCATTCAAATGTTTACACTACCACATCTTGGTGCATCGCAACCCTGATACCTCAAGATAATACTTAAACTGACTTATAGGTAGGCTGACTGCCTGCATAACTAATTGTATTCATGCCCACTGAGGCCTATGGACATACCTTTCCTGAAAGAAAAAGAAATGTTCATTTTATTGCTTAATCACTTGAATTGTAATTAGGTAATGAATTACACTTTTACTTCAAGGTATTATTTTACTACTTCAATTTTATTATTCATATTTTAACCTATATTGCATATCTTCTCCCCATCTCTGAGGATACTGCTATGGTATTTGAATGACTTCTTATTTTACATTCAGGACAGACCACAGTGGACCTCTCTACAGGAGACATTCCTGCCCTCTTGTCCTTACTATAAAAAGGTTTTTGCGGAACTCATAACAGAAGGCCCCATCTATTGAGCTAAATTATCTCTTTATTAGGAAAGCACTGACACCACATTCTTCAAAATTACTGGAATTTTATTTGCCTCAGGCTTATGACTTGCAACCAAAGACATTGTGCAAAGAAAGCAAAGATTAAGTACACTTTAGGGAAAAGGTGATAATCCACATTGGTAACATAGAAGATCAGTCTGATGAAAGAAGCCATCCATTATACTATATAGATTGCAATATTCAATAGCATTTTTTTTAACCCAACTTTTTTAATTGAGGAAAAAAAAAGTTAAGCAAAGTTTACAATAGACATAAATTTGATACAATTCAAAAAGCATTTTTCTGAAGATCGTCAAGCGTAAAGTGGAAAAATGTATATGGGACAGGGTGGATGAAGGCTAACTACTGTACATTTATAAGCTATTAAACAAAGTTGCATATATGTACCACAGTGTAAAAAAAACAATACAGAACAAATTAAAACTTTGAAAACTGCCTGATGAAAAATAAAATAACCAGTGGCTTCTAATGGCTTCTCCTGGTTATCAATGCTACAAAAGACTTTTTTTTTTTTTGTCTTTCTGATGCCACTGAAAAACATCATCAAATGGTAAAACCAGGCATAATCAAACCATTACCAAGTTAAAACCAGCCCATAGAAATATACTGTCAACCCACATTTTCCATCAAAAGCTTTTTGGTTGTTTTGTTCTTAAATCTTTTGAGGCCCATTTGGTCACAATATGTTACATTTTTTTCCTTTTTTTTACACCATGATATCATATGTTTGTCTGGCACTATCCTAAAGCTAATTTATAGAGAATGAGAATACAGAAACAACCCAATGTCTATTTGACAAAATGAGTTCACTGGGTGTAAAATAGGAGAAGGGAGAAGAGAAGGGGAAGGGGTCAGTTCTGCCAAGAAAATAAACCCTATGGATCACTCATCATCACTTCCGCTTGCTTCCGACTGGTCCTAGAGGTAAGAGACACAAGACAAGTCAGAAATTCTTTGCCAGCTATTCTGTGGAATTTGTTACAGAAGGAAAAAAAAAGAAAGTAAAAGGAAGAAAAATTACAATTAAACTGACAAATCAAGATAGCCTTAAGAAAGGTACTATGTTATCTAATATTCCTCTTCCATGACATTTCATTTAATTGCTGTAGACTTCTTTAGAAAAGGGAAGACAGACAGTCAGGAAACACCAGATCCTTCTTTATACCCAGACATCTAAAAACAACTGGGACAAGGTCTGTTTTCATCTGTTGCAATAGTAGAAGCACCCACCAAAAAAACCCAAAAAAGCTAACAGTTTTTCGTCTGTGGGCAAAAGCAAACAAACCATGAGGTTTAAAGGTTCAAAGAAAGTAGGAACAGCTCCAAACTTCTTACACTTCTCGTCTTTCAGCACTGCAACCAGATCTCATAAGCACACCCACATACAGTTAACACCCCCGCCCAATTCTCTGAAGATGATCCAAACAGATTAAAAATGTGCTTAAGCATGAACAGTTGAGAATTCTGACAGCAAGCAGAACAGGGTAGAGACGCAATCACTGCAACCACTTCCACAGTCTCAATGAACAGAACTTACATTTTCATCTTGATCCTCATCACTATCATCATCACTCACGACAGGCTTGGCTTTTGCTCGGCTTTGCCTCTTCTTGCCTTTTCCTTTCTCCCGACTTTTTTCGTCCTTCTTATTTAGCTTGATTTTGACCTTCACTGATTTTGCTGCAAAAAGTTTAACAGTACACATGAATGTAACTTTCACTTATCAACTTTTAAATGCTGTCTCTGTTCACAGAAATTGACCCCTGGAAGCAGCCTGGAAAGATATTCCCCTCTGTTATTTGGACTGTGGAACAATGAAGCAGAAGTATTTGCTTTTATTTTTCTACTTCTGGATAGTTTTAACAATAATTTCTATTAAACTATAAAGAATAACTTTAAATCAACCATGTGCATCTTCCTTTCACTCTCAGAATGCATGATGTCTACGGTGGATGTATATGGTCCTGTGAGAAGATACACACCTAAATATATTTTGTTCCTTGCATATAAAAATGTCTATCCTTCGTACAAACAGACAATTTTATTTTAAACTACAGAAATGCTATGTGGAGGTGACTGGAAAATTTTGAGTTGACACCTTTCTGAAGAACATGTTAAATTCCTGATTCCAGAATATCCACTCATTTCCAAATGAACTGCTCAAGCTGCATGCTTTGCACACCCGCGTGACGTACTTGGAAGAGTAGCTCAGGGCCAAGTACTACAGTTTCTGAAACCAGACAGATGGGGTAGCTGAAGAGTATGGGTAGATACAATGGGTGGCAGAAAGTGTAATGAAGGGATCCCTCTTTTTTCACTGTATCATGTTTCCAAGTTTGCAGGTACTGAATGAGTGTCACCTCCCGCTACTGAAACAATCGGAGTTTCACTTAGTCCTTGCTGTCGCACTGAAGAATATTTCCAACACCTTCTGGTTTTCAACCAGGTGATGAGTTTTATATGTCACACCATGCCTGAATATTGACCACCCATGGATAAAGACTGTTTCTAGCTTTCCAGCCATTGCTATTTACAAATACCATGAACAGAACCAGAAGGGTTTATAAATACTCATGGCCAGTCAGATCTGCTTCCACAAAGCACCTCTGTGATTTTTTTCTGGCTTAACAGTAGTTCACTATGATCTAAGAGGTAGAGCCAGAACATGCAGCCAAAAGATATAAGCTGAATGTTAACACCCAAAGCAGCAAACTTTGTAAGAAGTTACTTCCACCAATGGAAAACAGAACCTTATAATCAGTCTCCATGCAGAAACCGGAAAACTTCCCCTTCCATCCCCAGATTTAGTTTTTTTTCAGTATTTCATAGGGGACTCACATTCTGATTCTGATTCTTCTTCTTCTTCTTCATCTTCATCATCATTGCTTTCATCCTCACTTTCTTCTTCTTTGGCAATCTTCTGTCGAGCACTTTTGAACACAGACTGAAGAACAATGGAATCCTCATAGATCTACATTATGAATATAAACCTACGTCAGAACTGTAAAGTCAAGCGATATCAACAATTCACAGAATAGACCTTAATTTCCAGTGCAGACCCACAAGTATATGTCCTTTTCAAATACTGAGTAGCAATGCTTGTTGCATGAATTTTACAAGAAATGCCAACATTAATTTTTCATGCTGTAAATCAAGAGGTTTGTCAATAGTGAGCCACAAAAATACAACTCTTAAAATGAATTACATCTAAAATGTCCAATTAGAGCGTTTTTCTTATTGTTTTTATATAACAGGAACTATTGTGTATTTTCATTAGATTGTAATAGCCTTGAAAAACTGCCAAAGCAGTAAGCAACTTAATTAAAAAATGGGTTATAGTCCAGCAATACAGTTGATAATGACAAATGGCTAACCCTCATGTTATTTATCCTTAGTTTTTTCTGAAATCCAAAGTGACTACAAGGAAAATAAATTTATCCCGAGCAGCTTATTCTTTCCTTCCTTCCAGACCTAAAAAGACTGAAAAAAAATAATAATCAGTGCTTGTTCTAAACTTAGCACCTGTTCTCAAACATTTTGTAGCTTGCTAAGTGTCTTGGGTACATCAGATTTTCTCTTTAACCTCAAGCATGAGAGGACTCTCAAGAGTGAGGGGACTACATTTGACTTGTAAGACTTTTCTCAGATTAACCCAGTAAAAATCTTGTGGTCTTGCTGAGTACCTGGGACTTAATAATCACCTTAACAAATGAACTTGTACATTTTGTTCTGTGAAAGGTCAGAAGTCAAGCACTGGACAATTCAGCACTGGAAAATTAAGAATAGTTAATAGAAGGGTACAGATTCATAGACTGTATTTGGTTTTATCATTATCATCACCTGAACTACCTTGGCTGTCATCCTACTCCTTTGGCTAAATTACAGACTTTCTTGTATAAAGGGACACTGGCTATTTGTGAGAAAGATAATGGAAATATTTTTGGCTGCCATTATACAATGTGTATGTTAAAACTCATAAAACTGCTCTAATACTTTGCAGGTTCAACAAAATGAATTAGAAAAACTTTGTTCATAATACTTTACACGAAATATGCAATCTCTCTTTTTTCACTTGACTGCCAAGTCCTTTTTAGAAAAACTGCCCCTCACTGCAGACTGTTCCCCATTCTGTAAGTACTGCTGTGCTTTTTGTTATGAGATGTTTGACTCTTCTTGACCATGGTAAAATTTCTTGAAATATATATATAATAATCATGAATGTTTTGAAAAGGCTTTTCTCCTATTGTCTTACAACATTACTGGGCTGTGAGACTCCACGGCTTCCTTCCTTGAAGTCAAATGATTATTGACTTTCTCTTATACCTACTTCTTTTCACGTTAGCTATCGATAGAAGCCCCTGGGTTTCTCCTGAGGACCATTTATTTTTCTTATACATAGAGCTAGCATATTCCATTGTTCTCAGGAATGGCTCTTTCAATTAACCTTGCTGTCCTTTCTCAGACCATACACTTTTCTAAGACAAAAAGAATTAAGGATGTGTACAACATTATATTTTTTTAATGCCAGTCACTACATATTTAGGGTATCACTGTGACCCAGACTTTTAAACAGAATTTCCTAGGGAAATAAAGGGAGTTTAAAAAATATTTTAACCTTCTTAATGTGGAATTATTTGTAATAGTCAGTATCTATTTTGATCCAGAATAAAACTTGGGCTGCTTCAGGAAAAGCTGTGCGAATAGAAGTTTTCTTATTTTGACCAAAATTCAATTCCAACAGGTTTCACAAAAACAAGCTGCAACGGCAGTGGAACTTCCTTCAAAAAGGGAGAAGCAATGACAGAACTTCATGACAAATGACAACATTCATGACAAATCCTTTGTTTCAACAGGCACATACTATTTTTAACCCCTTACGTGTCTGTGTTTCATTTGACCATTACAATGTGAAAAACTTTTCAAATCGCTGAAGTTGCATTGAGGACAAAAGACTCAAAATACAAAGTCTGTTTCTCCCTGAAAACCCCTCATAAGGCTCCAGCTTAGATGGAACTGCTTTGCTCCAAGGAAAAGCAGCATGCCTTATACTAACAGAACAAACATGCAGAATTTCACTTGAAGTCACTGTGTACTTAACTGCCTGAATTAACCTTTTGGTTTTGGGTCACAAAAATGATCTGGTTTACTCAAGTGAACTGGTATGTCAGAGCACAGGTGGACCCGAACTATTACAAATAACATGAGGTAGCCTTAAAAACTGGAGGACTGCCGCACAAGTGTCCCACAATTCACTGGAAATCAAAATGAATGGTATGAGAACTTATCAGAAAGAAACCAAAAAAAAGTGTTAGATATGAGTTATTTGGACTTCATGATATAAAAAGTAATACTAGGTCTGGTAATTAATGTTGGTACATTGGAACGGAAAAGAATACTGCAACACTCTGATACAGGTTGGGTTACTTCCAAACAGAGCAGCAACTGAACATTTCTACCCACTCTGGATTATTCCTGTCAATTCTTCCACCACTACCTACCAAGAGACCAGTTTCCCATTAGCAATTTGAGTCATTCTGATGAGAATAATTTCATTATTTTTCCCATTTAGCCACTGATTTTTCTTCGCCTCTGTTTTACCTCCTCTACCAACTTTTACCATTTTCTAAAGTCTCAGTGATACTTCTTAGTATTAGCCTTCCTTCACTTTTTTTTTTCATTTGTTATCATTGCATATTTATAGCTGTTTTACTGCTATGTGTCTAAGCAGTAAACTGGCAATGTAGCAAAATTTTGTCCCATGCTTCCTATCATCATTAATTTTCTTATTAAAATATTTTTAGTTGAATTATTTATAGGTTGTTTCCATATAACTGAAGACAGTAAAAATACCACATGTACATATTATAGAAAACATTTCCTGTCTCTAGATAACAAAAATAATTACAAAATGATGAACTGTATTCAACAATCCTTCATAATTAATTGCATGCTCATTTTAATTTTTAATTCTCAAATTTTAATATAAACTCCCCAGTTTAGCTAAGGGTCATCAGTAATGTTTAAGAATTTGAAGGATGCATTAGTATGGGCAGCAACAGCCTTCTTACTTAGATTTCTTTTGACATAAATTTTTTCCTCTTGTACATTATGGGAGTTGTCTTCATGTTCTCTGTTTCAATTTAATATTGTGTATGCATCAAACTATTTGGACCTCATCTATAAAAATAATAATCCAAGACTATGTTTCACTGTATTGTGATAACTTTGTTATCTTTCATTCAGATTTTGTAGTCTCTCCTTTTGTGTCAGTGTCCTGTTCTGAATTCACAGCACTGAGCGCATTCATGTGTGTGAAACATCTGTTAGAGATAAGAGATTTTGCCTTCTAAACCTCTGAGACTCATCTGGGATTTATTATTACTGTCTCTTAAAATGGACACTGATCTTTAAGCATTAAAAAAAAAAAAAAAATTACCAGAGGGGTCAGAGAGTATAAAGCTTCATACACAAAGCTTTACTGCTGGACCAATCCTGCATTTTTATCTTCCATTAGCAGAACTGCAGAATTCACTACGAAGTATTTTCTCAACATCCTCTCCGAAGCTGTACTGTTACATATTCTTCTATCATCTCCTGTGGTAAACCCAGGCTGATACATCACTCTACACACACTGCCTTTTACCATAGATTCACATAGTCTTACAGCAGCTCTAAACTACACACAGATCAGAAAACACTGATCTCAGAATTAGCATCAAAGCCAATTTCTCTGCATGCACACACTGCAGCTCTGTCCAGTGAATTCTGGATGATTCTAGGAATCTGGGCATTTTTCCATATTTAAACTAAGAATTAAAACACAGGGTTTATATAACATAATATAATAACCCACAAGCACTGAAAACATTAGGTAGGGGAAACCTGTGTGTTTAACACAAAGTGGTTCATTCAAACCTGTGATCCCTCCAAATTGAATGTCTGAGCATTGTGACACAGCAACATGACATCCTTCTCCAAGTCTCCAAGACTCCGATACTTATGGTTGCGAATTCTTTCCTGTTGCATTTGTTGAGGAAATGAAGAGAAGTATGGATGACCGGTGGTGCAAAAAGAAAAACAGCAGACAGGACACTGAATTAATATTTGACTTCAGCACATTAAAAGCTTTCTCTTTAAAATTTTTATCTAAGCATCAAGACAATTATCTGTTTAAAACAAAGAAAGAAAGTCTTAAAACATATTGCTAACTTATTACTCAAAAAAATTCACCAGGGTAATAGATTAAAAATTAAGCAATTGCTGTGTGAACTGGAAGGGACAAAAGCAACAGAAATGCAGTTCTGTTGGTAAAAGAAGTTCCAGTTTCTTCTTTCTAGCACAGAAACAAAACAAGCTATGACATGAATGGAAGTCATAGAGTTATACACCTAACATGCCACAAGCTGCCTAAACTCCACCTGCCAAACTGTGTTTGGATCTAACCTGGCTGTTCCAAGATGTGATGCCTGTTTAGGGATGACTATATTCTCCTAGATCCATTAAACCTTCGCAAATGCTGTGTTTTTTACCAAAGATGTGCTTACAGATTCACAATTAGGTCTTTACAAAAAAGACGCTGAGATGTCATCTCTGACATCGCCATTCATGTCACACTGCTACATTTTGATTTGGCTTTGAAATTACAGTGATACACTGCAGTTATACACTAAACAAAATTCCTAGCCAGGTGTGTAACAACATTTAAAATCTAAGCCACAAATACAAGTACATGCAATATTCATGTTGTTGTAATTTTAATGATGACTTCATGCTCACTCTTCTGTATAACAAAATAAATGGACGAACCTCCTCTTCCAAAAAAGGTTCTTACCTTTATCTTTTTGAAATCCACTGGTTTCCTAATCAATTCATAATACTCTGGTAATTCTTTCCTAGACGGGAGCTGAATGAAGACTTCACTTAGCTGCCGTCCTGAACTGTTGAGAAAAACAAACCCATAATGCAAAGAAATACTACAACTTTCTCACAAAAAACCACACACACACAAGATGTAATCATAAGAAAAAAAATAAAAACAAAAAAAAATCACAATTTTTTCTTTCAAGGAATTAGAAATTCAACGCTGCTCTGATTGTTTAATTTGGTACAGATTAATTTACAATTTAAAACATATCCTTTGTGCTGTTGTCCTAACATATCACCATCATTATATGATCATATGTGTGGAAGGCTTTATGGAAGCAGGATCAGGATTGAATTCTGTAGTGGCTTGCTGAGTACAGTCTTAATCTGTTTCTCAGTTTTGTTTTACAATTTTTAGCAAATGTCCTTCCTGTCGTTATATCTTCTTCTTGGTCATTTTGTAGTTGTTTTGTACCTCCTCGTCATAGCAAACCATTCGTTCATACTGATTTCCATTATACCAGACACTGATTGCTATCAGACTAACTAGAAGTTACAACAAAAAAAATTTATTAACTTCTATTAATGACTGTTAGGTTTCTGGGAAGATCGTTGTAACTGTATTGAAAATCACTACTGCCATTTGTACTTCTTATGTCACCTGAAATAAAGCAACGCGTTATCTAGAAACCTTTCATACTCTAGGAACATTGCCTATTACTTGAATTTCTAAGATTTCCAGGTTTCCCATTGTTCACCCTTTATTAATAGCTATTTTAACACTTCCAAACTGAGAGTGTTTTTTAATCTTCTTATTTGTGGCTTCCCAAATAATACATGACTATGTTACCTGGAGAGGAAAATGTGTTGATGGCACTTATGGGCTCAGTCTTCTTCTGCCCCGCTCCCCCTGCCCCGCGCATGTAATTTTTCTCAAAGACAAAGTAGCAGAAAAAAGCTCTGCTGAGAGTAACTGTAATTTGCTGCATATAGCATTCATAAATATTTCCCAGCCCACATTCACATGCTTTATTCTCTCACAGCTACTCCAAAAAGGTCCTGTTTTCTCATTTGTATCTTCAGGCGGTAACTCAGGGATACCAAACCTTCACAGGAGTTGGGCAAGAAGGCCATCAAGTCCTGGTCTCCACCTGAACTTCTCTCTGGCAGTCACCCTCCACACTGGTGTGGGGTCTTATCATCCTGAATCCAAGGTTAACTGAGGTAATTCTGCCATGGAGGATAACGACGATAAAAAGCACGGAACAGCTCTGCCCTTCATGAATAAAGTCATAAATGTCTACTATATCTTAGGCATTTGTTAATGCCTGAAATAACATCAGAGTTTAAGGAGATACTACTTTTCTTATGGACTTGATAAACCAATGAACAAGTAGGAATAAACAGAATTTCCTCATTTCTTAAGTAGCTGTTGCTCGCCTAATGCAAGATTTCTTATTCTTGGTTTAGGCCTGGGACACTGCTGCTCCTTCTATACCTTGCATCAGAGAGGACAATAATGTAAATGTTCTAATCGCAGCTTGCTCATCAGTGTTGTTCAACTAATATCCTGTGTGACAACTGGCAGCTAGAGTATTTTCCCAAAAGCCTCTGTCTCATTCTGACAATTTTTGTCTGACTTGCGGCAGCAGAAACTGGCAAGGTTCCCCTTGCCAGGCTGCCTCCTAGATTACAGCAAGATTTTGGCATATGCATGAATGCACATCTGGGTGCTTCTGCTGCACGGTGAGACAAGGCGGTGTACTGTGCACCTCTGTCAGGGAAGGTGAGAATGAAGTCTATCTACCCCATACAGCTATTGGGGCAGATGCCCTAACAGACCAGCTGCACCTCACAGTCCAGGCAGTTACTAGCAATTTCACACAACAGATCTAATTTATTTGGGAAGCACTCTGCTACTGAAATAGAGGAAATCATAAAATGATCAGATAATTGTCATCCCAAGTATTTCTCTCCTGCCAGCAAATAATTGCCAAACTCAGACCATCACACCTCCCATCTCCTTTGGTACTGATTCACATCAAAGAGGCAAATTCATTACTTTCATATTTCCCCTGTCAAAGTGGGAGGTGTTTGTACTATGGATTTAAAGGCACCGATCTTGTTAATGATGTGTGTGAGTGACTATGTCATGCCACATGACACAACCTGTCTTCATCTCAGACTTCCCTCTCAAAGAGAAATTGGAAGCAATACAAGGAAAAGCAATGCATTAAGTACACACTACACAACTGATTAACTTGTGTTTCTACTTCTTTGCAAATTGAGGACTGTATATTTTTTTGGTTAATAAAGAGAAGTGTTGAGCACTCACAACTGCAACGTAGATGAATGAAATTTTTTCTGAACCTATAAAACACTAATGCTCTGAGAAATCTGTTCTCTGGTGCCCAATTACAATTTAAGTTTTGATTCCTCATTTGTAAAGTTAGAATAAAATGTTGTGAAAAAAGTTCTGTATCTGCAAAATATTCAGGAATTCAGCCATGCATTAAGTGATCAGTGCCCACCTTGTATATGCAAGGCACTGGTCCTGTGGAAAAGCAAAGCGAAGCGAAGCGAAGCGAAACAAAGCAAAGCAGTACACTGTTGTGCCATTACAGAGCACGCTGTAACACACCCTCCAGAGGGAAACATATTAGTTTTCCACCTTTTTTCTGTTATATCCTATTTTTCTGTTTGCTTGACTTCACAAACTTAATAAATAAATCTGTGCAATATACTGACATATGATACAGACGTAAGTTAATCCTTTAAGCAGTATGATAAATTACTTTGAAAACTGTGCAGTATGAATCTGGATTTGCTGTGCAGAAGGACTGAGTTATCATTGCTGTATTTCAAACTTCAGCAGCTTTCTTTTAGCAGAGATAACCATTTGAGAAAAGTTATGAAACCACTGATACTGGTGTTGCTTCAGCTACACATCAGAGTCCAACAACAAATATAATGATTTAAGTATAAAGGAAACAGCCACTAATAATCTCATTTTGATCAAATTTTAAAGCATGTATAGCATATTTGTCCTATTAAAAAGCTTCTGACGATTACAGAGCTTTTTATCTCATAGGTATGTAATTTTTTTTCTCTTTTTACATACACATACCCACCCTGATATTGTATTTTATATTAAAAATATAACAGTAGTAAATTATTAAGCAGCAATATCCTATTTTCAAGATATAAATCTAGCCAACTGTGATTTGTTCACACATTCTGTTAAACTAAGAATGCCATAGAAAATCTTCAAGCTTTTGCTTGATATAATTAATTACTGAGCATCATTTAAGGCCATAAAAGTATTGAAGGCATGAAATATGCAAGAGACAGAAGACTAGTGCCTGATTTTGTCTACTTAGATCAGTAACAGCTTACTCTGTTCTATCGTTTTTATAGAACCTCCTCTCACAAAGAAATATTATCTTCTGCTCCCTTTGTATATGACTATCTATACTGTAAATTAATGTGATCTTTTCTTACATAATCTCAAATGGCTGTGTTGTGGATACAACAGGAGAAAATTATTAATTATTAATGCAACTCTGATTTTAATCCCTGTCCCCACTTTTGTAATTAGAAAATAATAACCACAACTGCCACATAAAAATCATGCGCAGTAAAAAAAAAAAATCACTTACGGTTGCCTTACAACTAGCAGGGTATGTGCTGAAGGGAAGAAGGACCAGAATAAATTAAAAGACCTGACTATGAAAGAACCGTGACTGACAGTTCACTGCTGCTGCATCAGCTCAACATGCTAGTCTTATGTGTGCTAACATAAAAAATACTTGCATGCTGTGCAAGTTAAAAATCATTAAAAAATACTGCTCATTTAAAAAATATTTTTTATCATTGTTTCTGATTTTCTCTCTTTTTTGTTAAACTACTGACAAGCATGTATTTCCACCCATTTAGTCAGTACTATCATCAGTGAAATTAAATGCAGGAGCAATTAGGCCTCATTTGCACAAGCCTCCTTTTGTATTAGTTTTCCCTGGCAGTACGTGGCCAGAAGCAAGCTGCCACTGACCTGTCAAAAGTATTACTACTATCAACACACCTTCTCCTTTGGAATCAAAAGGAGAGACTGAAGCTGAAACCACAAGACGTTCTCATGTTTCTAGCGAATTTCACACTTTTAACAAATACTGAAATTCAATTTAGAGTGAGTAGAATGAAAATGAAGACTCATACACATTCGCAGAACCACGGTGTGCAAATTACAACTCCTAATCAAATGTAACTCACAAGGATGCTCTTTAAAAAAAAAGCGTGTGTGTGGGAGGAGAATTAAGAGCTCACATAGCGAGGTGGTTCCTCTGTATTTAACAACTTCCAACAGTAACCCAGATACGTAGGGAGATGACTCATTTTCATTAAATGTATTTAATGGTGGCTCTTTTTTAAACTGGCTGCAGTAACACATGGTCGACCTGTCCCACCATTGAAATGGAAGTGGGTAGAAATACTTAAAAATACAATTCCTGGTTTTGACATATGGCTATGACTCCATAGCTTTGGTTTGGCTATAAATAAGAATTATTTGCTTTGCCTGTTTGAATACTCAAGAGTACCAGTTGGCATAATTAATTACTAGTTAGATTAGTAATGGCTAATTACATTACTCACCATTTTACAACAGTTAAAAACTGGCCACTTAAGAAAACAGCTGGAGATAGTCTCAATAAAATCTATTGCACATACAGAGTCTGAGCTATGTCCTGTCCAAATTAGAATACTATGGGCACAAATGTAAATATTTTGGTTTTAATGATGCAGTGACCAAAATGCTAAGCACCACATACAGGGGAAGCCTCTTGCCAAGCAGAAAACATGGACAGGGCACAATAACCCCACCCTTCAATTTTCTTACCATCTTTACTAAAATGTGGTCAACAGCCACCTGCTATGGGGAGGATGCTTTGTGCAGTTAGCCGGTACACCATGCAAGTCCTTACTTTAAGTCTCACAAATAAAGCAGAGAGCAGGTAGATCACAAATGAAAATCACTGTATGCAGTATCATGCTATCATGTCCAGGGACTCTTGAAATC